CGAGCGGCGCATCGAAGTTGTGGCGAACGGCTTGCCCATGCTTGCCCGTTTGGCATGAGGCTCCCAACTCGCCGTCGATGCGACCATCGTCTCCCCCCCTCACCAGACGCGGCGACGCCCACCCGCGCGCCGACGTCCAGCCTGGCTGCGCGGTCGCCGCCGCCGCGCGCCGCAAGCGCACCCAAACCTAGCCCGAGTTGGACCGAGCGCGCCGCTGTCGGCTACAGTAGTCGTCGTCGGCGTCGAAGTTGCTCCCCCCTGCCGCCGAGCTCGGCGAAGGGTTGGTTCGAGGACGTCGGGGTTGGGTTGGGGAACACATCACATTGGATTCTCCATCGGACCCCAGACAATTTTCTGCTGTTCACGGTGTCCTTGTGCTTCTCGCCCAAATCCAGGGCCAGGCTACGGAAGTGAGGGCCGATGGCTCGGCGAAAACTCCGGCCCCACTCGCGAACAGCTCGCAGCGGCGGTCCAGCTCCGCAGGGGCGACACGAGCGTCCCCAGCGGCTCGGAAAAGGAGCATGCGTGGTGCGAGGCGTTTCCAGCCACGGAGCTCGAGTTGTGGCGTTTCGCGGTCGGCGATCAGCTGCAAGCCAGTGCGGAGTGCGGTTCGCAACGCACTTGTTTTTTTTTTCTCCGCGCACCTTTTTACGATTGCAAGTTTGCAAAAAGGTCCGTGAAAAAAAAAGACAAATTGCAAGTCTGCAAGGGTTGAGGAGTCCCCGGTCCCAGTGCACACGAAGTGAAACGAAACTGGCTTGCTCCGCCGCAGTCCGCCACAGCGGAGGCGGGAACCTCCTAGCGCGCTTCCGCGAGGAGCTCGTGCAGCTCAGGCCGCCGGTACTAAGGTGTCCAAACCAGGTTCCGGGGGAACCATCAACTCAGGAGCTAAGCGAAACAACTTCAAACGCGTGGCCAAGCCAGCATGCTTGCTGCTTGCTCCAGCTTCTTCCTCATCTTCCTCATAGCATGTATTGATGCAACCAAGTCATACCCAATGCCAGGCCAGCCCAGCGTAGCAGCACGTGTTCTTGCCAGCTTCATGCGACGACAGGGTGGCCAACAAATCCTTATGGTCCTTATGTCCAGAGCCATGCAGGAGGCAAAAAAGATGCACCGTCGTCCGTTGCTGGAGCCATGCCTGTCGCCTAGGTCCCGATGCAGGCCCTCCCACTCCCAGACTCTTGGGCCCGGTAGTGCGCAATCTCTGCGCCGGGACCAAGACTCGCAGCTCCAACGGACATGGAAACGGTGCGCGGCAAACAGAAAAAAATTGCTGGCAGGGCTGATCTTGTCAATCCCATGTGTTGCTTCTACCGTAGCTGCACGCGGCGCACGGCAATTCCAATCGTAGATGATACACGGGCGGAATTGGCAAGGTGCATCATTCACGTAGACAGTAGGGGCACAGCAGCAACTGGCATGACCAGCGGGTGTGTCACACCGTCTGATCCGGCTTTCTGCATGCATGGCCGCGGCGGCAGCAGCTCAGCTACCGGCAGCGACCTCGCAACATGTCTTTGCAACGGCATCCGGCATGTAAATGGCGACGTCTGCACGATTGCTGGTAGCAGGAGCTGCAAATCTGTAAAATTCCTGATGGAATCCATTCAGAAAGTGAAAAGTTCGTGGAACTTACGTGCGGGGCTGAGAGGGGGTGCCGACTGCAATCGCGAATTTGCACATGAATGGATGCATGAGGTCGGTAGGCGCTGACCTTGTGCCAGCAGGTTGGAAGGGTACGACCGTGGCAAGATGCAGTTTTGCACATTTTGCACTAACAATGCGTAATGCTGGCAAGGACCTGCCGGCATATTCAGTGCCAGTTGCCCGAGCATGCAAAACGGGGTTTGCACTGCTCAAGGCTCGTCTGAGGCTAAGCCAGCCTGGCAACACCAACCGACCGATCATGATCGATAGCATTTGATGTCTAAGGGTGCCGTTGTCACCGGGCGAGAGCTTCAAACTTCGAGTCTTGCATTTGGGGACGTGCCCTGGCGGGCGAGTCGGCTACAGTACATGCTGGGACAGGATGACTTGGCCGAGGTTTGGTGAGATTGCTATTGGTCTTTGCGCGCCGGGCCAGGTGGGATTCGTCCTGCTTAGTAAGGCACAACTACTGTTTTGGTCAGACGTCCTTGACGGGTTCAACAATGTGCGCAGGCACGCGAACAGACCATCAATCGCGACATGGTCGGATGGTACCGGACCTATGTTTTTCTTTTAAGCCCCACTCTATGCCGCGGTGGGGAGTTTGAATGAAGCACAAGCCAGGTCTCGCGGTGAGGCCCGCGTCTAGGTGGGTTATATCCTTGATCAGAAGCTTCCTGCCGTTCATGCAAGGTCGGTTTTCATGGCGGTCATGGGCAATCCTTCGTCAACGGTTTCTTCGACTTGTTTTAGCGACAAATTGTTGTGGAGTCAGACTCTACTCCACCTGCTCCTTTTCGGGCAACGCTGCTGCCAGGCCACGTTTCGAAAGAACAGTGCAGATCCGAGCAGCAGATTCAAGAGTACGGTTCTTTCGTTATGAAACATGGCAAGACGAAAGGGATGCTTTTGAAAGCACTCCTGCCATCGCACGGCTCACTCAAAGCTCGCGCACTGCAGGTGCAGCGATCGGTGGTCCGTCGGTGACGAGATCGAGTGTGGTTTAACAGCTGGCGCCAGTACTCTCCCTGGTTCTTATTGTTTTGGTGAACTTCTTCTATGCTTCTGTCGTACAAACACTTCTTATTGGCAAAGTGGTATTGGGTGGTAATGGGTGATCTGTAATCGTTATGTCAATCGTTTGAGTGTATGCTTGCATGCGGGCTCGTGAGATGATCATATCGACTCTATTGACTCTATTGTCTGTACTTTACACTTTTTCTTTTTGTTCCGCGTGATTCGGTGTCTTCATATGTCTTATTGTGCTCCTTAGATGCAAACAGTCGAGTCGGCTGCTGGCGTTGTTTCGATTGATGTTAGATGATGTTAGTATTGCCAGGGAGTTCCTGTGCTTGTGTAATTCTGCGTGAGTCGGTGCCCCATAAGTCTCGCTTGTCAAGTTTTCGTTGGTGGTTGGAATATGTTGGGGAGCTGTCCACACGGTTGGTGCCGACTTGGTGTTGGAGCCCGGTGTAACCAATGTCAGGAATTGGCTGACCTACCGCAAAATTTGTCGTGAACTGCTTCTGATTTCTGCCAAGACGTGTACTTCAAGCATGCTGGAGAGCAGTTCGAGCATATCCTTGAAATGTTCAGAGCTCGGAGAACAAGCTGCTTTAGCGGTTGCAGTCGTTGACAAGCCGACCCGCGTAGCATGCGTCCCGTCAGCTGGTGGCTTGGGACTGAAGGCCAGGCCGCTGGCAAATCTCATTGGCGTACCCTACCGTCACGATGCGACCCGGGCTGAGTCAACATACTATGTTCGGAGAGGCAGCCAAGAATTCCTTCCAAGCTTGTGGCGCCTTGCTGAAGGCTCCCGTGGATCTAAAGTGGAGATAGATCTTCGAGGACAGCCAAATCAATTTTCGGCATTCTTTCAAAGCTGCGTGCCACCGAGTGTTTGTCCTAGCCGCGCGCCACAGGAGTTGAGGACAAACCGCTGAAGGATTTGTGCCGCGCTGAGCAGATTCCCACCATCATCCTGGTTCAAGACTCTGCTGAATTTGCTTTGCTTTGTCACACAGGGTCTCGAATTGTGATAGTAGGGCCACAGCGTCAATGCCAACATTGTTGGAGGAAGGGGAGGGCGCGCCACGAAACAGGGAGGTGCAACCATTTTCGTCGGGTGACTCACAGTGGTTATAGACCAGAATGGCTTCGCCATGCGCAGATTGGAAGCCTTTGACATGACTCAATCTGATTGGAACCTCCGAGGTTGCCACACAGCGGTCCAGACTCGAGCATGAGAGGGGGTGAGTCTTCATCACATTTAAGGCGGCTGTGCGACTTAGTATCGTGTGATACGATTGGCCATAGCACGGATCTATCTGATTTCCACGTCCTGCTCAGATCGAAGTCGTCAGCCCTGACTCTTCTGACATCCTTCAAGAGGCATGTGACCTTGGGCGTTTGCGCTTTCGCACCTGCAAGGGTTAGAACGGAGAAAGCCCAAGGACGGTTATCGCTGAAGATGAGTGCCAAGAAGGACCTGGCGCCGCGTCCTCGAAAAATGTTCTCCAAAGATCTGAAGGGTCACTGCCAGGCATCTGACTGCACCACGGCTGCTAGAAGAAACACTGGAAACATGTAAGCACATGATTTTCGCACACAAGCACAGATTGCATTTGTCGAGTCGTTGATGTCGCAACCTAACTATCCCAGGTCACGACGCTGGAGCGCTGGCTTTCGCCATGGTGTTGCCAAAGCATTGAGGTGCTCACTGACACTCAAGCAACCCGTCCACTTGTTTGCTTTTCCTTACTGTAGTCTTCTTCTTGTTTGTACCTTCGCAGGTCGATCAGGCACCATCCACCATCGTAGCTTAAGTGCGATTGTGAGGGAATCGCCCTTGCCGTCGCTGCCCTCGTTCGCCGCCGAGTGGGCTTAATTCGATTCGGCCGAAACATGTTTGTACAGACTGGCTGCTCCAAGACCTGCAAACGTACTGGTACATGAGGTTACAACCCGTCTCACAGCCAGACCCTGCCAAAGTGGCAGGTGACCAACTCAGTTGCAGTGTTAAACTAAAGAAGAGTGAGGAGGGAACCTCAAGCTGAGGCGAACAGATGCACACGAGACTGTTTCACGAATGCTGTGTTGATGGAGTTGGTAGGGGAAGCTGCCACCTTTCGCTGAAGCTTTCAGCATGTCGAGCACATCTCTACGCCTAAGCATGTCAGGTACCCACGAGCATGAGGCAGATGCGTCATTCCGAAAGAGAAGCGGGCAGCGGTGCTATCAAAGCCGTGAGCTGTTTTCCACGACCCCAGTTGTCTTTCCGCAACCAAGTATTTTTGCAAGAGCAATATACCCTACAGAACAGCAGTGTAAGAGTCGGAGCACAGAGCAAAATGGAACATGGCAAGGACACCACGCAAGTGGCGCAGCACCCAGGCGTTGTCAGAACTTGTCGCCACAGACAGAGGGCCACTTGTGCGTCACTTTTGTGGGCGAAGCTTTCAAGATGCCAGGCTAAAGTGACACGGCTGTTCCGGTGTTGCGAGTATGTTGAAGTGAGACTCAGGCCAAAGTAAGCTTTGACCAAGATGCATGGGCACCTAGCGACCTGCTCATCGAAGGGGTGTGATTCTCAGTCGTGAGTTCTTCAGGAAGTTCAGTGTGTGGGTGGTTGGGCAAGGTTCAGCTCTTGACTGGTTTCTATGTGCCGTTAAAACGCCCGCAGCCCAAGAAGTCGCCGTGCACATCGCAATGACGAGCCGGAGTGCTTGATTGAGGCCCACATCATGGCGCTGATCTCAGAGATGACTCGAAGCAAGGAGTCCAAACTACAGTAGTTGCTAGAAGGTGCGCACATGTGTCAGGCCAGCAGGTCTTCCGAAAGGCAGGCGCAGTCAGAGCGCAGGTCGGCTGAACTCTGGAGTCTTGCACGGGTCAGTGAGCTGCGAATGCTGTGATCAGCTGTGAGGCCATGGTGTACCTCTTCTACTGGAAGGAGCGAACCTGCAGTCCGCCAGGGCATCGGCCATGCAGGACGATGTTTGCTTCACTGAGACCCTATTCCATTGAGGTCGGGATGGTGGTTCTGCGATAAGATTGGTTTGAGCCTCAGGGTCACTGACTCGTGACTAGTTGCGAGTGCATTAGATCTGAGTACAGCTGTTTCGTCATCTAGTGCATGTACATCAGCAGACGTGGAGTGTGGCTCAAGATGGAACGAAGGTCGGTTCTGACACAAGCAGACTCCACATAAAGCGGGTCATCGTATCAGCAGGCAATGCAAAATGCTAATTAACTCTGATACTCCGCCAGATTCTTTTGCGAAAGCATTCACGTATCCTCCAGGTTCAGGTATCCTTCAGGTCTTAAGAGTTAGGAGTTAAGAGTGCTGCTTGCTAAGCCGACGCTATGCTAAGAATGTGGATCAGAGCTCCCCTCGCGGTGCTGGTGTATCTGGTGTTTCTGACAGGTGACTCCATGAGTTGAAGCAGTTGAGGTGGCAAGTTCATGCCTTGCTCCAGGCACAGATGGGAAGGAGGAAGTGGCAGGCTTGCGCAAGATTGCGTCATACAGTGGAACTATCAATAAAGCAAAGACTACTTCGAAGTGTTTGCAAACATGCTTCGAGCCTAGCTTCACATTTCCTGGCTTTTGTGACCGTAGGTGCCGTTTCGCCCATAAAACGGCCAAAAGGAGTGGCAGAGGAGAGTGGAGAGGTGCTGCATGCAGTGATTGGAGATGCGTGCTCTGTAAATCCTGGCAGGAAACGCCTGCAGAGCAGCGGCGGGCTCAGGCTATTTTAGGATGAGGCTCCAACAGGCAAGAGGTCTGGGATAGGAGTGGATATGGATGAGAGATGCGCCGTTCAGGCTGGCAGATCTTCGAAGAGACCTGGCGGCGGCAGAAGCCCAGGCTGCCGAGGCCGAGGCCAAGAAAGCGGCTGCGCAGCACAAGGAAGCGCAGGCCGGCCACGCGCGAAGAATTCGCCGATGTCTCTCCTGGGTCTCAGAGGTGTCACTAAGCATCCTGAGGCCGAGCACGCCCTTGACGAGACACTTCACAACGAGGCGACACTCGGCAACAGCCACAGGGTTGTGACCATCTGGCGGCTGTTCGGGCTTCAAGGACACTCGGGTCATGGCATTTCCTGCTTCTGAAGAGCCGTTTCTGGAGGTTTCTCAATGGGACCTGCCAATTTTGAAGTCGAAGGCACCCAGCTGCCGGTGGACATTCCACTCTGCGCTTTGCGCTTTAAAATTCAGCCTTGCAACTTCTGCTCAGAACTTTACTGCACGCTTGGCTTTGGGGTGCTATGAGTGCTATGGATGCAGAATGTTGCAAATCCACTAACGAAAGCCAGGGTTGCAGAAAATTTCATTCACGACCACTTTTGAACAAATGGAATCCGTTACCAAGAAAAGGAAGAGTGAGCCCCTGGTAAACTTGTAAAACCGCTATGTGGGATGGCTCAACCACCCAAACTGCTAATTCTGTGCGCGACAGGCATCTGTGACCTGTCTCATCACATGCCTCAGGATCGGAGAAGTCTACGGCGCTTTCTTTGCTGGGCTATTTCTGCTGGCAGCGGCTGCTGGCGTCATATGGCTCAGACATGGCTACCAGGTGCAAGCCGCCCAGCAAATGAGCACGATTGTGTCTCTGAACGAGGAGCGAGTTAAAATCTTGACTCGGCTGAATCAACAAACACAGCTGCAGAAGCCAGCTGGCGCGGCTGAAAGCCTTTCCAAGCCACTGTTGCCAAAGGGGTAGCTGCAAAAGCGGCTCGAATCTTTCCCATGCAAAGAGAACATGGAAAGATGCTGATGTTTTCTCTTCGACCTGCGAGGAGGACTTTGCACATGACGCAAACCGTAGTTGCTGTGGGGCCACTGCCATATACTGCCCGCAACCCTGTGCCGGATCACGAACCACGCAGTCAGGTAGCAACGATGCCTATGCCTTTGCTAGAGGACGCTCCGTGTCCTCAGACTTGTCATCCCACCTACTTGGAAGAGCTTTAATTGTTCCACATGCTGTTAGGAATTCACGGCATTTTGCTGAACCAATCATGCTGCAATTGATGTTGTGAGCTGAAATCGCAGGCCGCAACACAAAGTGGATGCAACGGCAGAGAGAGAGAGAGAGAGAGACCAGACAAAGACCAGTGCGCGCACGCGCGCAGGGGGGGTGCATGCCTCTCCTTGGCTGAGTGCAAGCAAGACAGAGAGAACACAAATTTGTAACTTATGATGGCAGGATAGCACAGACGCCTGAGAACACTTCAGGTTGAATTCATCCCAGACTTGTTGCCTATTGCCCTGCTTCGTGTACTCAGCCATGCAGGAGGCAAAACAACAACATGCTGAAATATCCTGTGCAGCCTCAGGAGAAGACTCCGTTCCTCCAGAGGATGGCTGGATCGTGCGGAGCTGTGAGCTGTTTAGAGAATGTCGACATGATTCGTGATATGCACGTGCTCGCTTGCCATTCAGCAGGAAACCAAGGCCGTTTGCAGGTTTGCTTTGGGCCCAAGCGCGTGCCACGAAGTGGGAAGGTGAGAACTCATGGCTGAAGATGAGGACAGGGCTCCGGTTGAATATCGAAGTGCGTGTGTTAGGAAAGTGTGGCACTGCGGCATTGACTCACAGCCGCGCAGCCACAGGAGCAAGTCCCAGACGGTGACGCAGATCAGGGTGAGAACGAAGCCGATGCTGGCCAAGCAGAGAACGAGGAGGAGGACATGGACGAAGCCCCTCAGGAGCAGGAAGACGAACCGCCAGAAGAGCAGGCAAGCCAACATAGCGACCCCCCAGATGAGCAGCCAGATGACCAGCAAGAACATTGTGAACAAGACCGGTACGAGCTAGAGGAGGACCCAGCTGACGAGCAGATGGAAGATGAGACAGAGCCGGGCGAGAGACAAGAGCAGCAAGATGATCAGCTAGATGGAGATCGCGACGAACCCATGGAAGAAGTCCAGGAGGAGGGAGACGGACCTCCCGCAGAGGACGATGAGCAAGATTTGGGGGGTGCAGGCGGTGAGTCTGACAGGGGTGACGTGAAGGTTGACCATGGAGACCTGGAGACTGCAGAGCAGGATCACAACACAGCCGAAGCACCCCAGGACAAGGACGAAAAGGACCAGGATCCCAGTTCCAAGGACACGAATCACCCAGGGCGCTGCGAGGTGGATCTGGAAGAATCAGAGAAAGATCCGGCAGAGGCAGAGGAGGCCGACGTTCCGGAATGGGAAGGCAAGGAGGAAATCCAGCAGCCGTACGTTGAGTGCGAGGAGGATGCACCGACGGATGACAGGGAAAGGGTTGAACCGGGCACCTTTGCTGTCAGTTCCTTTCACTCCACTTTGAACGTCATGACTCCCGATGGCAAGCTTCTAATGCCGGTCAGTGACCGTGGCTTTCAGCACTTAGTAGCATGCGCCCGATCCACCGCTGGACTGAAGGATGGCAGGTATCTCTTCGAAGTGCGAATCGTCGAGCTGCGTCGGTCAGTCGAAAATGGAAAGCAGCGTGTCCCAAGGCAGTTCTGCGGAGTTGGCTTTTGTGCAGAGGGCTCGTCCCTCTTTTTGGGTGACGATGAGCGGAGCATGGGTTTCGATTCAGAAGGTTGCTTATGCAAGGATGGCCGAAAGAGCTGGATGGATGGCTTGAACGATCGCATCCGGCTGGACAGGCAGCTTGTTATCGGAGTTCTCTTGAACCTAGACGCGCAGAGTCCGAATGCCAACACGCTTAGCCTCTTCGTCAATGGCGAACGTTTGGGAAGACCGCAGTGCTTGCCCGAGACTCTCAAGGGCAAGACGCTGTTCCCTCTCGTCAACTTTAAGAATGCAGCTTGGCGGACTCAAAGACAGCTGCTGATCAGAAGGCTCATTTAGTTTGTCAGAGGTCGCATAGGCCATGGGCTCTAAAATCTCCATTCTGCCGGAGAAAGCGGCATGAGCTCTTAGCGAAAATGTGCTTGTATCATGTTGCATTGTGGCTGCATTCCGAGGTGACACTTCATGCCAACTTCTCCGGGCACATGCCGTTTGCACCTTTGCCGTTCGCTTGTCGGACGCTGCAAGATGCAGCCCAGGAGGATGTTGAATCCCACGACGTGAAGGAGAGTCAGTGCCAGGCATGGCCAACATGACAAGATGTGTTAGCCAAACACAGTTAGAGCCTGCAGCCCTGAATCAGTCCCCGCTGTCATACTAGTCCCGGTACTTGTCGCAAGTTCAATAAATGCCGCTGCAGGTTCTCATTCCGATCGGCCTGCCAGATGAGGGGACCTTTGCATGGCTCGATAATTTCAAAGAAAAGGGTCAGTTTACAGAGCTTTCTGGTCGAAGTGTCAAGGAGTGGGCTATGAAGAGTGGCTTGTGGTCCCAGGGGCACGGTCGCAATTTCAACGACCAACCTTCCATGGACTTCGGCTTGAAGGAGCTGGACGGTGGCACGACCAGACAGGTTTTTCATGCTATTGCTCCGCGCCTGCATCGAAACTACATTGTCATGGAGGTGCAGAGGAACCTCTTGGCAGAAGATCGTCGAAAGGCACTCGCGGCTTTCAATGCTCCGCATTTCAAGCGTGTGGCCATGGTTGTCATGGGAGAGCCACCGGAGGACTTCAAGGTAGAGGTTCGCGAGAATCTTCTTCAAGCTCGCAAAGATAAGGTCGCTGCCGAAGTAAGAAAAGCCAAGCGGCCTTCAAAATGGGATAATGGGTCGCAAGCTGTGAGTTCGGCAGAGCTGGAAGCGGAAGTGAAATCCAAGGTCGACGAAGTGAAGCTGACAGACTGTGAAATGCAGTCTTGGTTCCAGAAGAAGAATGATGGTGACATTCCCGAGAAAGAGCTGGCGAAGGTTTTTTCTGACTTCAGCTTGCCAACTGCAGATGAGGGTTTCCAGGAGATCCAGTTCATGTGGCAAGGTGAGAAGGAGTGCTTGGAGCACATGCAGAAGTGGATTGCTGAAAGAAAGTTGACTCAGAGGGTGGAGGATCTGAAGCCCACTGAATGGTTCAAGAAACAGGCCGAGCTGTGGCAACAGTCCATGATGAAGTGGAAGCGCAAGTTTGAAGACTGGCAAGATCCACTTAAAAGGAGGCGGGCCGGCGGTATTCCAAGTGCATTACATTGTAGTGACAACATTCGATTAGCTGCATGTCGCAGTTTGGCAGTCAGGCGCCTCGAGGACGATGCACGGCGTCGACGGGAGGAGCAGCCTCAGGAAAAGGAGAAGCCATTGCCAGTCGGCCGACTGGATGAGAAAGTTGTGGACTTGGATGCTCGATGGCAACTGGCACAAGCGTAGGGGGGCATTTAAAACCATGACCATTCATGACGTGCCCATCGCTTGTATCAGGATGAGGACGAGCCCCCCAAGCCGCAGAAGCCGCCGGACAGTTGCGACGATGTGGATCCTTGGACGCTGGAGGACTTGTTGGACATCGGCACGGGCGAACCGTTGTTTTCAAAGTTCACTTGGGAAGATTGGATGATGTTGGAACTGCGGTTTCAACTGCATGTTCTTGTCCATGGGTACAAACACTGCATGAACGACCCCGGACGGGTTGGCGCCTCATTGTCGCAAAGTGTTAAGCTGTCATGCATTTTGCTTGTGTAGCCCGAAGACACCAAGTTGCATCAGGTCTCATTCCACGAGAGCCACACGCAGTTCTATTTCGAAACGTTCTGGGGGAGAGAGCTTTCCCTCAGAAACTACGGAGTTGAGTCGATTGCGGAACTCCTCCGAATGGTCAGAGACACCATTGAGGTGTTGCCAAACAATTCCGTCCTAGATCCGCAGCTGTCAGACGACACTCCACTGGAAAACTTCGTCAGGCTGACGGAAGATTACCGGCGCGACCGCCTTCGCAAGCTCGATGCTGGAGATCAGACAGCAGCCTTGCGTTTGCAGAAGCCACAGGCTCATGCTCACGCCCCACGTCAGTTTCAAGCTGACGATCGCCGACAAGGCGGCAGGGGCTTCGAACGTAAAGCCCCGCAACGAGGCAATGCACCACGAGCAGGTGCTCCTCCAGCTCGCGGTGATCTCAGGTGGGCTGCAGGCGGCGGCGGTGGCGGTGGAGGCGAGCGGGACCACAGGTCCAATCGAGGTGGAGAGAGCCGCAAAGATGTCCCCCGCGGCAACCGGCCCCCACCTGCTCCTCCCGTTCCCCGGTCTCATGCAAGAGACGCTGGTGGAGCGGGTCAGAAACGTGCATATGGTCAGGGACCTGGGCGTGACGACCGCGACCGACACCGTGCATCACGGAGCCGCCATGACCGCGACGGCCGGGACGGGAGGCACCAGTATGCCCCACATAAATCACAAAGAACCCAAAGCGCCGGTCCCAACGCGCGCGGTCCTGGCGGAGGATACGCTTCCTATGGTGGAGGGGGCTACAGAGGTCGTCCTGGTTCCAGAGGCTGATGAGATCATTTGTATCACCGCGTGCGGTTCAACCGTGCTTGCAGCAATAAAGTCAGACAGCCCATGCCCGGCGCTTGTGAGCGCAGGCGATCCGGAAGAAAGACTTGTGCTTGCAATTAAAGGCAGCATGGAGTGGGTGTACGGATTAGGCGCATGCGCACGCAAGCGCGTGCACTTCTATTCGAAACTTGATCAGCGATGATCTTCTGAAAAAGGTCGTTGCACTGGCAGGTCGGTATATGTAATGAGACTACTTATTTGTCTGCCATTGCTGACTGCCGTCAGCCACTCGCTGCTCGTGACCCGTTTAGTACGTCGTGCACATACCACATATGATGAAAGCTGGCCTCGGGGCACAGTAGTCAGTTCTTGTAGCTTCGATTTGAGGTGCCCGTGCAAGGTCAGCCACAGCTTCGTGGGCTTCGCGCGACCTGCCTCAACCAGGGAGTGTAGCCATCAGCGCAAGTGCTTCTCAAAACGACGGTGGGCTTGCGTGTTTGCCTGCCCTAGCGAGGTCAAAATGCAACAAAAGGGGTCGAAAGCAAAGGCTGGAAACTCCGAACTAAGTGGAGCTGCCTGATCCGACATGTTGATTCCACGCCCCTTGCAGGTTTCTGTCTCTCTTTCGGTTGCCGCTAGTATGCTTTGTATACACATGCATGCCTTAAACGAGTGGTTGACAAATCATCAAGCAAACAGAAAAGATGAGCAAGAGCAGTAGACAGTTTATTAAGGAAGTACACATGGTTACACTAACACAGCATGGCTGTGTCCTTTTTGTCTGTATCGCCGAACGTCGAGCGGGAGATTACGCAAGGCGAAGCATTGGGCAAGCCGTAGCTGTATGTGCCACCTTGAGCGATGACAAATCTCGACAGAGCTAGTCAAAGACTGTCACAGCATGGAAGTGTCCTACATGTCTGCATCAGATGCGGTCTTTAAGGATCTGTCTGCAACAAGTGTTTGTTTCGTTATCGTTTCTAACGATCTTGAAGGGTTGTGCACTCCGTTTAGGCAACAAGACAGTTTGGTCTTGCTGTTGGGGGACCCAGCGCACCTCATTTGCCTATGTGGTTCTCAGCCTCTCTATGGGACGCTTTCGAGGAAGTGTCATGCCTTCTGGTTCATGCATTGGAGAAATAAAAGTTCGCGCAGAGCCGAGAAAAACTCAGCCCCTCCTGTCGCCTGCGTGTCCTTCCAGATCTTGTTCCTTGAGGTTTTGCAACGCAGCGCATGCGGGGCAGCATTTGCAATCGTCTCATTGCAGATTCTTGATTCAGGTATCGTATAGTTTCATTGATGCTTCTCAAGACTGTAGGCATTGTAAACATGAACAAACCGCTGTGGAACCATTCGGTGCAGCATCAGTCTTTCTGTCTTTCTGCTGGGCTTGCTGTCTTGCTGTTGCTGCCGCTGTTGATGCGAGGCAGCAGCCAAGACGGTCACGAAATGGGATCAGGCAAGGCGATCGGGCCTTGAAGCTCGGCAGTGGCTCTTGGGGAAAGCTCTGCGGCTCCAAAGTCATGTGCTTTCGCTTCTCGGAGATTCTTCGAGGGTGCTTGGCCCGTGCTTGTTTACTGCTTCGTCCTGTTGCAGGCCCGTAATCAGCTGTTTTAGATTTTCAGACGGGCGAATATAGCTGAGCTACAGCTTTTCTTGATTCTGCCGCCGGCCTAGCCCTCCGACTGTCGCATAGTGTGCATCATCATCTTCACAGGCGTGGGATCGCAACCGGATTTGGAGTGTGAGCCTGGTGCCCGTGCTGAAGTGGGCCTTGACACTGCAGAATCGCACAGCCACGTTTCTGACCGAGGTGGGAGCAAAAGCTTCAAGAAGGCATTGCTTGGTCATTGGTCGCAGGCTTACGAGAATGGAGACGATGTGTCCAGGCAAGCGAGATTGTGCGAAAACTCGCATGCACTCAAGACACTTATGCATCTATCTACGAAGAACTACAAACATGTCGCCGCTATGGGCTCAGACGTAGATTGCCTGACGGGGCCTCGATCTACATGCAAGGCTGTCATTCTGCAGTAGTTGAGGGTAGTGTAGCAAAAGGGCTCAGAGTCCTCTCTTGGTCGCAGCCCTGTCACAGCTTTAAGAAGGTCCCTGAAACACAAGATGCCAAGTCAGTTGCCAGGCTCTTGTCATGGATGATGATGACGAGAACGAAGGCAGTCTTGGGAGCTATGTGTCAGAGGCAGAGCAGGCCTGCTGGTTGGCCGGTGTTGCACAGATCCCAATACTCGCTGCCAGGGCACCTCAAAACAATACGATGTGGTACTCGTAGGTAAGTAGGCCTAGATTCTAGCTGTGCCACAGCCTCTGAGACTTTGAGCATGCCACATCATAATGCATGCCTCGCGTGTGTGGGATCATGCAATTCGAAGCCGAGCCATTCAGGAATTGGGACATGTGCAGGCGGCAGAAGGCCGCCCCCCTCAATCCCCACCCCAGGCTTCGCCCTGCAGCGTATCCCGTCAAGCCATGTCAAGCCGACCCAAGCAGCCCAAGTGGCTTCGAGGTCGCAGGCAGGACATGAAGGGGACATATCGTCGACAGCACTAAAGCCAGGCACTGACGACTTCTTCGTCCAGCGGGGGCACAGTGAACACCGCAGTTTTTACACCAGAATGGCCAACCGGAACAACCCAACGCTGCCGGGTGCAAGCCGTGCATAGCCGCGGCCAGGACGACGACGTAGAGAAGGTGTTGATAGGATAGATCTAGGTCAAGGAGTGCAGATCCAGAGAGAGTCCGGGAACAGACCGAGCACACCCAGAACCACAAGCGCTGAGAATTGAGAGTCCAGCAACATGCATCTCGCATCGTGCTGCAATGCTCGAAGAGGTCTGGAAATTCCCGTGCACGAGCCCCATGAACCCAATCATGTCTCGTTGTGTGGCATAAGTCACAAGCATTGGCAATCGTTCCATAGTGGCTGCTTCGTGCTGCGAATTGTGGCTTGACTTTCCGGAGGCAAAGTCCAACTACACTCAGTCAGAAAAACCTGTCAGGTGTGCTCTGGAATGTGCAGGGGGGGCTCAGATGGGATCCTTCACCGACACGGATGGGGGGGGGGATAGGGTCACCCCATGTCACCCCCAGGCTCGTGGTAATGCCAGGCTGCAGCCATGACATTAAGGCATGGTCTCTATGTCCTTGCAGCTGGGGAGATGGGGAAGTCGCTGTAAAAGTAGCTGCAGTACTCTTTGCGGTTGTCTGGGGGATGCAGCTGCAAAGCATGTTTAAGTTGCATGGCCAGTTTGGCCGGCAACAGTGGAGCGATTAATATGTGGAGGCCGAGCGTGCAGAGGAAGTTGCCAATTTCGGCGATGAGGAGCGTCCCCTGAACCTGCCCAGCATGTCAACTTCCACTTGTGCGGAAAGCATGAACACGCATCGGCAAGCATCAGAAACGCGCAGGACCAATGGGATGCCGATGTGCGCATGGAGCGAACCGAGCGAATAGACTTGGAAGACTCGCCCAGGGCTGTCGTCGAAGAAGACGCGACTTAGCTTCAGCGTATGGCATATGGGCAGGCTTGTTTCGGTTTGGAGCTAGGCTGCTGCATGCATTGTGTGAGAGCAGTTGCACAATCATGTCCCACAGCCATCTGACTCCGGCACTTGGGACTTGTGTGGTTGCTTTGCAGTGTGCATCGCTCGTAGACACGGGTCAACTACGCCAAGCTTAGCTTGCACTGTTTTGCATGAGCTCTGATCCGGCGCATTGTGATTGCTGCAGGTTTTCGGGGATGGCTACTACGAAGACGAAATAACTGATCCGACGTGTCTGGAGGCCGGGGGTGCATCGGTAGTTCCTTGTTTCACGGGCTTGTGCCTGTTCCTTACATCGCCCAGGTGATCACAGACACCTTTGAAGAACTGCGATTGCCACCAGAACAAATTGCCAAAGTGCAGGCTTCGCAGTGCTGCCAAGCGCAACCGCGACAGACTTCTGAGTTGTGAAGTTCAAGCAGAAGCCTCTCAAGTACGGATGCCGCACCAGGGTTACAGCATGAACCGTCACTCATTTCGTGTGTCTCGACGATTCCGATGTAACATATATTCACATGGTACACACGCCTAGGCTAGGCCTAGAAGACTCGCAAGACTCAAGACGCATGTCCCATATGGTAGCCTCCATAGTTCGACTTGGCGCAGGGTGGATTCGCCCAGCTGGTGCAGAATGCCGGCTCGCCTGAAGCAGCAGGGGAAGCCGTCTACTCCACACTCTTCGAGGCGGAGCCTTCTTTCTGCTCAGCGCAGGTGTTTATGCCCTCAGACAGACTTAGGGTGAAGTGTTTTGAGGCCGCTCCGAGCCTGCAGTCGCTGTGGACAACACCCAGGGCTGTCTCGACCTTACGTGAGGGCGTCAGAGTCAGAGTCAATGCCCATTTTTCATCGACGGTCGCAGGGATTCGGTGCCTCACGTCTTCTTAGGTTCAAGGGATGAAGTTCGCCAACAGCCTGGCCCTCCTCATCTCAAAGCTTTCCTACCCGGAGGAGTTCAAGAACCTGGTGGACACCCTAGGGTTCCAGCACTTGACCACAGAGGTGACGGTGCCACGTATTGAGGTCTTCCGAGATGCCCTTGTAGAGTTGTTTGCTGCGGACCTGGGCGACCTTTTCACAATGGATGTTCGGATCGCGCTCTGCAGAATGTTCAACTACATCGGCGGGGCCTTCATCTATATCCGCAACAACTACTCGTCCCGCTTGAAGCTGATCTCGCAATGTTGGACCTTGGCCAACAGCCAAAGGAATGAAATGGATGAAGAACCAGAAGAGACCCAAGAGTCCTCCGAGCACAATGTGGAAAACAAGGAAGAGGAAGATGGAAAGAAAGGCCCTACGCCCTACGTCATGAGATTCGGGATGTCGCAGCTAAGCGCAGCAATTCCATGTGATTCTGTAACTGCATGTGCTTACCATCATGTAATGCTCAAGCACGGTGTTAGTTGTAATGCTACTGTCTCAGCTCATGAGCGGCTGTACGCACAGTGGCTTGTGACCTTGCGTCACGCGAATTCAAGCCTCGTGCAGCGACAGTGGCTCCGCGCATTGTTGTTGCAGATGGGAGTGTGCGTGGCGAAGCAAGCCACCACCAAAGATGGCCAGAGTCCACAGGGCAACGAGTCAAATGTGGCAAGAAAGACTTCCACCGACAACTTGACGATTTCGTTGGACAGGGCCAAAGCTATGTCCTTCAATGCGGCAAGCACTCATGCACGCTACCACAGTGCTAGTTCAGGTGGCCGCCAACTTGAGGATGACTACGAGATCTTTCCAAAGCGGGTGCTCGGTGAGGGTTGCAGTGGATTGGTAATCATGGCAAAAGGCCGCAATGATGGGCGCAAGTATGCGCTGAAGCGGATTCACAAGTTGAAAGTTCAACCGAAGGTTCTCAAGCAATTGACTGCCGAAGTGGAGATCTATCTCATGCTCGATCATCCGCACATTGCGGCACTCAGGGACGTGTATGAGACGGAAGCTGAGATCGCACTTCTGACTGAATGCTGCGAAGGGGGTGAACTCTACTCCCGGCTGTCGAACTCCGGCACCTATGCAGAATCCGATGCAGCAGAGGCCACGCATCAAATGTTGCTTGCTGTAGGCTACCTCCATGCGCATCATGTGGTGCACAGAGACCTGAAGCTGGAGAACTTCCTCTACGAAACTCAAGAAGCGAACTCAGCCCTCAAGTTGATCGACTTCGGCTTTGCCAAGATTTGGGACCCTTCAACCTTGATGTTGGCATCCTGTGGTAGCATTGCGTATGTCAGCCCGGATGTCTTGAAGGGAGAGGGCTACACGAGCAAGTGTGACTTGTGGAGTCTGGGCGTGATCGTTTTCATGCTGCTCCTTGCATGCAATGCCGGGCCTGAACCTTCATCAGGTTCTCAGATGTTCTCAGGCCTAGGCAGGCTCGAGTATTGCTTTTGTTTTTTGTGCTACTGTCATGATATCTCATGTTCAGCGGTCAGAACATGTCGGACCTGCTGAGGCTAGTTGGCTACCCACCTTTTCATGGTAGCGAGAAGGACATGCGCACAAATATTTTGGCTGCAAGTGTCGATTGGAGCCATAAGAGCAGATGGCGCAAAGTGTCCGAGGACGCGGTTGATTTTGTCAAATGTCTCTTAGTAAAAGACCCAGTTCAGAGAATGGATGTGGGACAGGCTCTCGAGCACAAGTGGCTGAAGCCTAAAAATCTCAAGGAACCACATCCGGTTCTGGACCGGGACTCCCTCAGAGCGCTTCGACGCTACGCAGACACCTCCAGGGTCCGTCGTGCAGTTCTGCAACTTCTGGCGCAAGAACTCGCCCCGGATGAAACGAAGGATCTCCGGGACGTCTTCCTAAGTCTAGACAAAACAGGAGAAGGCACGATCTCTCTTGGTGAACTAAAGCAGGCGATCCGTGGCGAGGCTGTGCCCGAGCTGCCCGAAGCCACGCCCGAAGCACCTGGAAGTTCCTCTCCTAAGTCTCCCAAAACCCCAGCGGCTCGACTCCGACGGGCGAAGTCCGAAGTGATAGGGAGCCTCTTTGAAGTTCTCGATGCCAACGGTGACGAGCAGGTGTACTACTCAGATTTCCTTGCGGCAACCATGGATGTGCGGAAGCAGCTACGGCAGGAAGCCGTGTTGTCGGCTTTCAACCGTCTTGATGCAGATGGTTCTGGGACAATCAGTCCAGATGATTTGCGGAAAGTCATCGGTGAAACTTTTGAGGGTGTCAATGTGGAGCTTCTTGTTCGTGAAGCTGATGCAGCCTGTCGGGGTGAGCTGACTTTTCAGGACTTTTTGAGTTTGCTTGAAGCAACTGATGCCTCAGTGTCTCCGACTGG